TCTACTTTAAACCTCCCTGGGCCGACGATTACACACGATAATGCGTGCCTTAATATTGCGATGTGTATACATGTCAAGCTATGATGTCCATACCAGATTTCTTTAAAATCTATCCAACAGTTCTGAAAATAACTAACTAAATGAAAAATTCTCTTAACTTTAGACATCAGGTTTGACTGCAAGTCGCTTTATACATTTCTTTTAATTTTCTCTTACGGATAAATAAATTAGTATTTTGATACGAAAGTAAGTAATGCGGGAACAATAGTTGCAGCATCAAAAATTGAAATTCTTCGAGGCTTTAGTTATTATACGAGTACAACAGTAAGCATTTAGTTTTATCAGCTAACAACAGTGTCTATCACTATTATTTAAGAAGAAAAGGCACTTGTATGATTTAAATACTCTTTAAATAAATGTAATATTTAAAATACTTTAAAAATTTTTAACGATAAACTCTACTTCCGGGAAATATTTTGTAATCTGAAACTTTCATTGCAATTCCCCGTTTCCTCATTAAATACCACTAAAATGAGGAATTAGCTTACATATAAGGCTGCCTTACACTGTGGCCATTACCGTATATTTCATTTACTAAGTCACTGTCACATGCATAATAAATTCGCTGAATAAAAATTTCAACATCTTCAAAGGGCAGAATTCATTTTTTTGGCAAGAAATAAATTACAGAAAGTATTCTCACACTGTTAATTATATTTCAGATTCATACATCTGAACTGGTACAGTAGTCATTTGCAAAACACATAAAAGTACTAACTCGATGACTTAAGTATTTTCTACTTAAAATGCGGTACTAAAAAGTACACTCCTCTTTCATGCGTAGACTAACAATTAAAAGCTTACAAAAAAAAAAAAAAAAAAAATTATCACTTATCTTTTAATTTTTGCTTCGAAAGAAAATATATTCACATAGTTTTATCTCCAAGTATCGTTATTTATACCAATTAATCACTTTCTTTTACCTTGTAGAATTAATGCACATAACTAAAATGTGTGACGCCATCTTGTATGCAAGTTTTCTTCCCTCTACCACTTTTTGACAGCTTCCAAAATTCAAGTTTTCGGCCAATATGTTATAGTATAATGCGTATATACTATTCGCTTCAGTGAATTCTAATTTCTGTGTAATATTTTTCATTCGTAATGAATGTGCTCAGTTCATTCCTGCAAGGATGCAAAATTCTTAAATGTGTTTCCACCGCACTTACTCGTTTAAGTCCGAATCACATTATGTTTTGGCTAAGCGGGACTTGACGTCGAAAGTGACAATTCTCAGAACCCGCACACTTCCAGGATACCCACATAGCTGGGTTACCATTTTCACTCTTACTGAAATGATTTCAAAGCAGCGAAGCGCAGATCATTCATTCGGTTGGTTTAGCAGCCAAACACCAAAAGAAGTGGATTCTCCCACAGCTGCTAAAAAGAATAAATAAGTAAGAGGTAGAAGTCTCGAACATGACACATTGTCTAACTGAGACAATAATCCCCCTACCCCAAAGACCTTGGTAGTGATTCTAGAAGACAAATATTTGAAAAGTCAACTTGACTTCACGCGCAATATGCAAATATAAAACTAAAATTATGAGTGTTTGATACACAATATCATTTATTTTCCTTTTTAAAAGCAATAAAATTCCAGTCGCAAAATATCATACAATAATTTTAACTAAGTATTTAAAAAACAATGTCGCCATCAACATAGATAATTTGAATTAAAAAAAATCTGATGTTGACACTGCATGACTTCCTTGCATGGCTTATTAAATTATACACATTTTTTGCGGCATTTTATTTAAACTTATTTCGTCGAATTTCATTAGAGATATATTTCTCATTCAATTATTTCAGTTCTCACTTCGCGGCAAAGCAAAAATACATAAAAGCTCAAAACATCTTCATTAAACACTGTGAAATACAGAGAAACATAAAATACCAAATACAGTTTAAAAAAAAATTTTTGTAACTAAAATTAGAGTTTCTATGCAAAAACAGACAGTTCAGCCAGCGGGCAAGGAGGCAGATTTTTCGGTGCAAAACTGAAAGTTTACTTTTGGTCCGAATCGGCAAAAAAGACATTGAAGCTGCGGAAACTGATTTAATTTACTATTTTACTGAGTTTCAAATGTAAAAAAAAATTGGTACTCGGTACTTAAAAGTTTTTAAATTGTTGACAATTCTACAACTATCACATGCAGATTAACTAAAGCCATAAAAATCTTAACCGGGACAAAAAAGCCACATAATTCAATCACTTTTAAAGCAAAAATGCACAATTTACCAACATATAAGAATAACAAAACTAAATGCACCGAGCCAGGTAACAGAGTGGGATATACAGGGTGCACCGTAAATGTTGCAACAAACTTCTAGGGGAGGTACGGCACATCATACGGATTAAGAATTGCATAGGAACCCATACCCGGAAATGTCAGGGGTAAATGGAAGCAGAGGTAGAAGATAGGAAAGGAAACAAGAGAGTGGTTAATTTGAAACATTTATTGGACATGAATACAAATGGTGTTTCGACAGCTTGAATACTACAATAGATGCTCGAAGTTTGCACTATCTCGTTCGGCTAGAAAGACTGTTTTAGATTTTGTTTCACATCTTTACTGAACTCTTATGTGATTTTTATTGTCGCTCATTCCCAAGTTGCCACGAGATCCATTTCAGACACAACAGGATCGTGATACACGACACTTTTGATGGCTTCCCACGAATAGAAATCAAGACTCGATAAATCCAGTGAGCGTGGGGGCCAGGGAACGAGTCTACCACGCCCAATCCATCGATGCGGGAATGATCTGTTCAATTGGCTACGAACATAAGAGTCCAAAATGAGCAGGTGTCCCCCATCATGTTGGAATCACATGTTACGCCTCATATTTCGCGGAACATCGTCAAGCAAATCGGGAAGAACCTGCTCCAGAAAGACCAAATAATTCGCGGCATTCAGATGGTCCGTCGGTGTCGGGCATGTTTGGCGTCTGATGGTGCAAACATCGAGCATCTGTTATAACATTCAAGCTGTCTTACACCATTCGTATTCATATCCAATAAATGTTTCAAATTAATGACTCTTGCTTCTTTTCCCATCTTCCACCACTTTACCACTGACATTTCCGGGTTATAGGTTCCTATGCAATCCTTAATCCTTATGATGTGTCCTACCTCCCCTAGAAGTTTGTCGCAACATTTAAGGGACACCCTGTATACTTATGATTCGTTCAGCCGTTTGCAACGAAAATGGAAGGTGCAGAACTACATGTTATAGCAATCCTATATACAAAATTTCAACGTTCTACGACAACTCGTTCTTGAGTTATGCGAGCTGCATGCATACGTAGGGCGGTTGAAATAGATATTTTCAGTGAAATACAATACCAGAAATTTTTCGCGGTTACAATACTTCCTTTAAGTCGTAAAAATGTACCTCCTCTTAACCATTTCTTTAAAAAATGTAATATGGCAAAACCTTTTTTTAACAGATTTAAATGTTTATGGCAATAATTCAACGACTAGCAAAAATATCAGAATAACACATTTCCCGACAATTTTAATACTCCCCCTTTTTTTTAATTCTGTACTACGGGAAGAGAGGAGAAACACCACAACAATATTTCGGATCTCTCAAAAAATACAGCGAGCTTTACATGAAAATAGTAGTTTTGTAGCAGCTTTCTTTTAACAATTAAATTACCCTTAAAAATTGAAAGCGAATTATTTACAGATTTGCAGTCTGCAATTAAACACACAATTGTACAGATTTCTTTAAAGTCAATATCACAACTGCACGGTAACCATGAATGACGTCCACAGTTTTAACTCAAAATCACAGTTAATCCAAAGACCCAAAAATAGAGGAAAGAGTAATAACCTGTATTAAAATGAACAGAAATATACTACTAATAAATTATCTGTATTTTCAAGCAGTTCAATCCGGAGAATAATTTCATTTGGTTGCGTAAATTAAATCACTATTCAAAACAAACAGAACGCACTGAAAATGAAACTAAATTATGATTTGTGTTGAAAAAAAATATTTACGAGAATATGAACAATATCACCGAGTTCAAACTCCCCCCTCAATAAAGAGACTGCGTATTTTTATCTTTTTCACTACACAATATTTACACATTTATTCCAGATTACGTGAAACTAAATTACTTGCACAGTTGTAAGAAAAAAAAAAACAATCCCAAATATCGTTATTTCATGTACTATTACTACCGTTATTTCACGCACTTTTTTCCGTTTTTTTTATATTTTCCGTTAACAGTTTTGTTTTATGTTGCTAGTTTACAGATGCTCCGCAATAAATCAGTAGTGTAATGTATTTTGCAGTAATTTACAAAACACACAATCTTCTTAGTAGAACATAAATTTTATTTCTAGTTTCACGGTGATAGACAAATTTTATACAATTCTTAAGTGGCAAAATGTTCATATTACTCCTAGCTGTTAAAATCTTCAGAAATCCATTTTTTTAAAACAAAATCTCACGTTGCTGAATAACGGTTTAATAAAAATATGGCGTTGCCACTTCAACAATAATTATATTTATTTATTAAATAACAAGATATTACAGTAGTATAAACGATACATATAACTTTTTTATGTAACAAAGCCAAAGCTCGGCTGATAAGATGAGTTCTAGAAGATTTCACTTTCAGTTCTAGAAGATTTTGGTCTTTGGCAGAGGTGATATTTAATAAAGACGCTAATTTGTTCGCTTAAAATATTTTTCTTCAAAAGGTGGTCGTTTAAGGGAGGCGGTCGCTGCAGTTTTTTTTTTTTTTTTTTTAAGATTGTAGATTTTAGTTTGGAATTTAAGAAACGAATGACACAGGTTAACAATTAAATTCTTTTTTAAGATTACCCGTCTTCTACTAAACAAACCGTAGAACGCCGCTAAAAAACTGATACCAAAATATTCAATTATATATATAAAAAAAAAAAAAAAAAAAAAGAATTACCTGTGGTAAAAGAGGAAATCCGAACAGACCTAAATTCTGCCGATCAATCAACCTTGGAAACACAGCACTCGGTATGGCTGCCATGTCTCACCCTAAGAGCAGCTTGAGGTAGAATGAGTGATGAACTGTGTGACAAATTCAACTTCAGAAAATACAACCTCCGGATAACAATGACACACGCACATATACATACATAACAGGCGCGCGCGCGCGAAGCCTTTATAAACGACGCAGCACAAACCGACAGAACCAATTTCTATTGCTCAACAAGCGGCACTGACTGACTACAAGTACATGGGCATCCTCTTCACAACGTCTTCCTGGCTGGTCTGAAACAAGAGAGCGAGAAATTTTTCGAAGCCGTGATCTAGCGGACGGGCGCGAACAAAGCGGAGTTCCACGCTCAAAAACTTTTTTTAAAAATAGCACAACCAGGCACAGGAACTGGGGTTTATAAATACATATAACAGACGGACGGCATGATGGTCTGGTATCTACTACTTCTTGGCCCAGATAGGGGCCAGGTTTAAAGAAAAGAAGGAGGAAACAACAGGGAAAACTTTCAAGCAAGTTGAAGAGGCGAAAGATAAACGTCAGCAACGGTATGTGTCATCTTTATTTATCTTGCTGGATTCTTCGCTATTTTGGGCAGGAAGAAATAGGAAACCCCCTTACGATTCGTTTCTAACCATGAAGAACTAAGCGTCGCACGTGACCTGTATAAAGGCACACGGATGTTGTCACAAACGTGAAAATGACCATGAACCTATTTTCAAACGATTCAAACATAATACATGCACGCAAAAATTATACTGATTTTGAAAAATAACCCTCCTCTATTCGCAAGTATAAAATTTATATTATTATGGTTTAAATTTTCAAGCAGAGGTATGGGGGTTAAAAAGAAATATTGCCGTTCGATATAACATCCGAAAGTTAGCAAGGCAGAATTTCCACTCTTTTTGCAGTTCAATATAAATCTAATTATCCTTTTAAAACCTAGTAAATATAACGACTAGAAAATATTTAATATTCTTATCTGGTTATGAGTGATAAATTTCTCAAGGGGGGGGGAACTAATGGCCGAGTTTCAGTGTTTAAAGAAAATCTATCTGAACTAAAATACTTTCAAAATAATGTGCTCGTTTATGAATACAGACAAACTGAAAATAACCTTTAACTGATATGATGAAAAATTTGTACGAAACTTTTACGAAAATTGGTTATCATATTTATATAAGATGTAATTTTATTCAGTATAAGTACCATGAATTCACATATCAAACTACATCTTGAAAGCACACATATAAGCACGTATTCATAGAAACTCTCAGTAATTTTATTTAAAAACAAATAAAAAAAAATCTGAAATGTTTCAGATTTTAAATTACGTCCAAAGGGGCGTTTTTTAACATTTTGTGTGTTACCTTTCTTTATTAAATATCATGTTCCTCGCACGTAAAACCAAAGATCCAGTGCAACAGCAATATCGCAAAATAGTTTAAAACGAGCATATCTTTAGAATTTCCGATACAGAGACTCCCGCGCTGGAGATAAAAAATTTTTTTTCTGCACAACGTTGCCATTGCTGGCTTTGAAATCCTTGATTTGTAATCAAAAAATTCGTCAAAGTTTTTAAAAAATAGGAAATCGATCATAAAAACAAATTTTCAAATTTCAAATTTGGTCTTCCACATGCTCATATTCGTTTGGAGGATTACGTTATCAAATTCGATGACGCTATGACCGTTATTTTGACAATGTGGAGAAATACATACATTACGCAGATTTTCATTATTTAATTTCTTCAATATAATGCAGACTCTAACATTTTATGGCAACAGTTTGAAAAGTGAACCGACATTTATCCTCCGACGCAAAATGCCAAAACGAAACTAATAGTCCTTCGGGATTCAAATCCCTTTGGACTAATAATATTAAAAAAACATTTTTTAAGTCAATTCCTACTTAGATAAACAAAGAAAAATAAATTTAATATGTGAGAAAATTGTATTAACATAAAGTGTCATCCACAACAAGTTTAAAAAAATGTATTTGAACTTGAGTGGATGAATAAAACGTATTTTATTAACGACTGAAAATTCGAATAAGATACAGAGAGAGTGTGAGTTCATAGTAGGAATTTAATAAAATATGCTTAATATATCTATTAAGTGCTGAGATGCACATTATTTTCGGGGTCTTCTGGGGTGGGGGAGGAATCCCTTGCAATTTGGAAAAATATCAGTTTACAGTGTAATGCCTCAAATAGGTATTAAAAATAGCAAATATGATGCTCAACTGTTTGGAACTTGTTTCATATCTGCAAAAGATCTAATTATTAACTTTTGTTATTTTTAGTAGATTTAATTAATGTACTAACCCCTTATCTGTAATTACCTTTTATAAAGCAAAAACATTTCCCCTTACAATCTCGCTGCCAATTTTTTACTTCCTTGTACGAAATAAAAAGGAAGAATTGTAATCGCGAAAAGTTTCAGGCAGCATATTTCAACGAAAATATCCACTTTGACCGCTTTCGAAGCATTAACGATGTTTTGCGTGATATAGTACATAAGACCGAAAAAAGACTCTTTTCCTCCAAAAAACGCTTAAAATGATTCTGAAGAGACTTTTCCGGGCGTCTGTAGAACGTATGTACGACACGTACGTAAGTTCACAAACTCAAAACGAGTAGCCTCAGACGTTGATTTGTATTAAGACTACTATAGCATGTAGATGTTACCTCAATTTTGGTTTCATCGGCCGCGCCAAACGAGAAATAGACTTAAATATCCTCGTTACCCGGCTCAGTGATCTCAGTTCTGTACTCTATATGGGCTCTCTTGGTAGACGGTTGCACGGATTTTGCGATCTTTGGCAAATTTTTGTGACGGTAATACGACTTATGGTAAAAACCCATTGCGGAAATTAGTTTATGGTAACCGTCTTTTGACGTTTATTTAAAAAAATGCGTGTTATTATGCTAAATTCGGGTTTAAAAATTATTATGGCTTAAAATATTAAAATCAATTCAATTGATTTTATTTGAATAACAATTTTATTCTTATAATTTTATGAAATTTGTATGGATGATGAACAGTCCGTCACCTTCCTTTAAAATTAATGGTTTAATATCTATAAATTTAATCTATGCTTTAAACATTATTTATGGCTGTTAAAATTAAAATACAATTTAATTTTGCTTTCTTTTTTAAAAATGATTTATTATTTATGATTAGAAATATTTTAATTCTAGGCGTGATGTAATCAGCTCTCTGATTGGTTAGAAAATAACATTATGAGCGTACAGCTCGTGTGGTATAAGTTTTTGTATAAATGATGTAATATCACTTGTTATAAGTCGTTATAGTCATATGTTAAAAATTATCCATTTTTTGCTTTTAAATGATTGAATTATGTTGTTTTTATCTTCCGGTTAAGGGATTATGCCTTTAAAAATCTTATGCAATATTTAAATGGGAACAATTTAAAATTGTGTTAAGTGCCGCGAAGCTAAAATGATGGCGGCCATTGCTCTTGTGACATTTTGAAACAGCTGATAGCGATTTGTGCCAATCTAGAGAAACTTAGCTTTCGCACAACAAGATAACGCCTTCATTTATATTTAAATCTGCTTATCTTTTTTTGAATTTTTTCGAGGAATAGCGTTTAAGATTTACTTCGTAATTTTTTATACAGATATTTTGAGTTTTATGATTTTGCCTTGTCGCGAAGTGAAAACTGAATTAATTGAATGAGAAATACTCAACGTCTGTGAAAAACTGTTTCTTTTTTGTTTTTTTTGCTTAATTCTTTTATACATAGTTCTAGCTTTATTATAGTATTTGATAGAACATGGGCAACGATTAGATAATTTTTAAAGATAACATTTGTGCATTCTGAGTTTAATATGAACGAATATAATACTGTTAAGTAAACCTAGCGCAGAATGTCGCTATGGTAACAATGAAATTTTTAAGAATGCATTTATTCAATTGGGTTTAGTGCTGTCGGCGAAGAGGTTTATTCGATCTAATAATTTTAAATGAATCAGAAAAAAGGCGTATAATTAATATTCCCGTAAGGAAGTCAGTGGTGTAACATCAGATTTTTTTTTTTTTTTTTTTTTCCCAAATGATTACAAAGTCTGTTTAAAAAATAAAATAATATCCTGAAATTAAAGCAGGATAAATCAAATATGTCGCAATAGGAGATATTACTTATACAGTACCAATTTATAAATTTCACCTCTCACTAGATATTATGCATGGAAGATAACTACAGTGTACACAAAAAAGGGGTGGGGCACTTCTATCCCTCCTGTTCTACTGAGCCGATTGACAAAATTTAACTTGCGTTTTTCATCGTTCAAAAGCGCGACTCAGGATACCTATTAGATTTATGTAAGTATCGTTCTAACATATGTATTTTTATACAAAATCGGACTTTTTCTGAAACGAAACACCGATTTCCTCCCCCCCCCCAATATTTTGCTTCTACAAGTTCAAATTATGCCAAATCGCCAAGTTTTGTAAAAACCGCACATTACCTCTCAAAATCATAGCTCCTCAAGGTTAACTGAATTTAGTATATACTTAATAATATCTTTTCTTTTTATTAAACTCACCAGATTCCTTCTTCACAATTCGAAATTTAAGTTCGATCCAAATAAAATTCCCCGATATTTTCTGATTTATTCTAAAATCTGTATTTTTTAGTATCTTTTGTAAATTTTTCGAAAAAATTTTGATATTTAACCTATAAAAGTTTTATCACAACTTTAAAGTAGATGTACTATTTCTGGGCATACCTGCAAAAAACTAAAGTTTGCTTATTCAAAATTTTCCAACATGAATTTACATATTGGCGCGTTTTGAAATTTGGCATATTTGTTATAAGGGATAATAACGCCAAATGTAGTTAAAATTATTCGAAAAAATGAACGATGCACCTTTTTTTCCGCTCGTGCACAACGGAGAGGAAAGAAAAATAGTGTTGATTGCGCACGGGTTTGTAACAAATTGAATGCACACAGCTCCCATGATAGGTTGATCAGATTTATTTTATCAAATGAAACACTTCAAAGATCTAGAACTTTCCACAAAGATGGTCAATGAACTCTTCACAATATCACAGAGTACAATCAGTAGTTACATTTTATAATAATATGAACATTAAACACAACGCAATGCAAAACGCAGCTAAAAAGCTCAGAAAGTTACCGGGAGATATCTCAGTACTCCGAAGTCACGCAGAGCTAACAACAATTGAAAGCAGATGCTCTCACCGGCGGCGGATAGTTTTCACCCGCCGCCGAGATATTTCTAGTACTTTCTGCTTCTCGAAATTACTGGAAGGCAATATGAGAGTCGAATCACGGTTACAGCCAAAATAGTGGTCAATTACTACATTTATTCAATTACAATACCTATTTCGGTGATACAAGGGCCGGACCCAAATGTCACCAAATGGTCGCCAAGTCTGGCGAGTTTTGACGATTTACCCGTTTGCTCACTGTTAAATAGACTTACCCCTGTATTCTTACTTTTCCGGCATAGCTTTTCTCTTTAGATT